GTAGCTTCCCAAAATAAGGGGACTCCAATATAGACCCCAAAATATTATAGTCCTTATCATAGACACCCCCAGAAAGGTACCCCTAATTTTGGGAAACCCTAATCCCTATATACCCCTATATAACCTCTGCTTCCATTTCATTTTCCATTTTCTTTTCCATTTGATTCTCCATTATAGGGGTAAATGGTACCCCTAATTTTGGGATTTATTACCCATGTTATCATCCCTTGCCTGAATCTATTACAATAACCCCTATATAATCCTAGTGTCCATTTCATTTTCCATTTTCTTTTCCATTTGATTCTCCATTATGGGGCCCTAAACCCTATATTATTGGGTACCATAATCATCCAGGGGACCCCAATATAGACCCCAAAATACTATAGTCCTTATTATGGGGACTCCCAAAATGGTACCCCTAATTTTGGGAAACCCCCATGTAATCATCCCTTGCCTGAATCAGGTGATACCTCCTGGCCAGCGCCAGTGACATGGCCGACAGCAGCCTCGCGGGTTCAAAGCACGAGAAGCATTTGCGGAAGCTCAGCAAGGGACCGGGAAAAAGCCTCCGCACATTGTGCGAAGTCGAAACTCATGTACTGTAGTAGTTTCCATTTTCTTTTCCATTATCCTATATAACCCCAACATAATATCAGTTTCCATTTTGTTTTCCACTATCCCCAGCTGCCGCGCATGCTAGACCCGCCCAACCTCGTTGGACTGCAAGTCTCCGGAACTCTCACTGGCAGGCCTCTGGTTAAGCTTGCGCAGCCAAGTCTTGCCACTCAAGCTTTTAATGTTTTCTAGTAGCATGGACCTGGATTTGAGAGCTTCCTTGCGGAAGTTTTTAATTGCACGAGCACTGACAAGTAACTTACGAGGCTGAAGCATCTGTATGCATGATTTGTTCAAGAACTTCTGTTAAACAACTTTCAGGCATACTGCATCCTACCCATGCATCAGCCCCCTGAGTCCCTGCAGTATTGCGCTCCGTAAGCTTCTACCTTTCACGGTCGTGCCAAAAAGCCTGATGGTTTCTGCGAGGTTTTGCAGGCGTCCGTGCCACTTTGTAGATACAGTTCCTGGCACGCTGCTCCTTCAGCAAAAGTGTGCGCATCTGGGTCACCTGCTCTCTCTGTGTTGTGTTCTTGCCGTGGTGTTCATATTGGATGCTGTATTTCCTCTGACTAGAAGAACCGGTAAGCAATGCAGGCCAAAGAAGCCACTCCAAAACATACAGACAATTTGGCTTGAACACCCACAAGCACAGATCACTTTGTTCCTTTGCAGCCGCTTTGTTTGCAGTCCTTGCTTTGGTCGGGGGTCATGACTCTGTTGAATGATGCTGTGAATGTGCAACCTTCGAGACATCATCAACCACGCATGTCAAAAGTACAAGATAGTGCAGGAAGTCGTCGTCCAAATGCCATGGAAGAAGACTTAAGAGCGTCATCCAGAGACAGCCCTGAAAGCTCGTCTTATCTCGTCTTGAGTGTCAGACTCCATAACGGGGCCAGGACCACCATCGACCTCCTCTGTGCTGACAGCCTTGAAAATTTCATATTCCCAAATGCAGCCCGCAACACGAGGTAGACAGGTAGGCAGGTAGGCAATGGGCTAACTGCATTTTGCCAAGAGGCTCTCGCAACATCAGATGCTGAATCTTCAAGGTCTAGATCCTTGATTTCCTCAGGATCTAGCCTTGGCTGGGTAAGATACTCTGGAGAAGTCTGAAAACGCATGCGAGTGCCCCACTCCGGCCCGCATCCTTGCGCAGACATGCCTCATGTTGCTTCGGGGCACATGGGGCACATATCACCACACAAGGAACAGGCAAGAGGCCTGGCAAGATCTGAGATGGGCCGGATGCAGTTTGTTGCAGGTCCTGTGTAGCTTGATAGTCAACAGGAGGAAACCGCTGCTCGCAGTACCATCAAAGAGGCCTCGCAGTCAAGGTCGTTCAAACATGAAACGCGGTCTTCACAGTGACCTGTTGCAGACAGCAATGCGTACGGCGCGTCTGTTCATGTAACGGCTGCGTGTACTTTGCGTGAGACATCGGAAAGCTGCCGCGACTTGAGTCATTGACCGTTGCTGCTTGGTGCGCATGGGTTAGAATCTAAATCTCCCGAGCTGTGCGCCAACCTGCAGAACTTTGGAGGCATGCAACTGTAGCCTGGCCAGGGAGCAGTCCATGGGTTCACAAGCTTGCTTCCGTCAACTGTGGCAGCTCAAGCTGCTGCAAATAAATTGAACGCTTCCTTAAGATTCCCAATCTTTTGGGATCGGCCTGAAGCTGCTTCTCGAGTGCATGCCTCCAATACCGCCAGGCTGACTCCTTGGCCTAAGATTTGTTGGTACGGAATTTGCCGCACAAAACCCAATCTTGCAAACGGACTGAGCGCGAGGCGTCCGCTTCGCGCTGCGCGGTGACAAGGAACGCCTTTACGGCATGCAAAGCTGAGCGGGAGGACCTCGTGCAGCGGACACTGGTGTTATCTATGTGGCCAGAGCCCTACCAGAGGTCTTTAGGCTGCAACGGGCTTGAAGGACTGACGGCACAAGCAAGGAGGAAGAGTTGGTGCCAAGCCTCGAAGTCTGCACTGCAAGTGGAGCCAACGGAGGTTATGGAAATCAATTGGACTTACATCTTAGCCTTGCCATATAGCTTGACATCAACGAGAGCAGCCTCATCTCCTGCCGTAACTCCACTGACGACTTTGCAATTATTGAGCTTCTGGCCCAAACCGCAATGAGCAAGGCAAACACATCAATTGCCTCATGTGACAGCTTTTGGTTACTTTTAAGCCGGCCCTGTATCTTTCTGAAAATTCGTGGGTCCAAATAAAACCCTGCACATGCAGATCGTTACATGCTTGTGCCCAAGCAATGGCTTTCACGTGTAGGCACCAGGATCTGATGGTTTGTCACGTGGAACACTATAGCTGCTGCCCACATCTCCCTGTGACATGTGTACCGACCTGCAACTCAGAGGCGCGCCTGCGGGGAGAAAATCATCTGGATAGCGGCTATTGCATGTTCGAAAGATGCTGTGGGTTGCATAAAAACATGCTATCTGCCTGTCCATGACTCTGCTGTTTGGATACTAAAGTCCTGGCTTGTATTTCTGGATGTTGCAAGTCTTGAGAAGGCCTGGTGGACCCACAGCCATATTGCAGGAAACGTGGCCCTAGAGACGCGAGCTCTTTCTTGGTACGACTTTGCGAAACCTTGAGGTGGTCAAGCTATGTCATGATCTGAGCGGAAATGGAACGCAATCATGAATAGGTCTAATTAAAAACTTGATTGTCGGGGCATATCGAGTGCTGACTGACCTACTTGTGCGTAGAGGAATTTTGGAATTTATTTTGGTGGTTGGAGGAGCAGCTTTAAGATGCATAGCTTGGAAAGCTCGTTTGTCATGTTTGCATGAGTTTTTCAAAATATCTTTTTGGAAGTTGCACGAACTGACACGAGCAAGTAATGCCTGGCACTCATTGATGCTCATACATGATACTTTTGACTGGGTAAGATACCTCTCGCCAAGGGTACCTTGAGCGTTTAATGTCATCACACTGATAAGGAGCTTGATGAGCTCAATGTTAAACAGGAGGTCCTTCACTGCTGTTTGTAACATTTATATCGAAAAATGATACATACCCCTCCGTGCTTTTGCACCCCAAACAGCCATGACTACTGCACAGGACTTGACTCTGCGACAGCGGAACATGAAGGAAAAACCACAGACGCAAACATGTATTGAAGACAAGCCAAAAATGTCTTTTGGCAGCCGTAAAATATCTTTTTGTGTCTGGCACGAGTTTTTGAACCCTACTGAGCGAGAAAAAGAAATAATTTTTTCAGCTTGTAGCTCATCAAAGAAAAAACGTTTGCAGCTTGTAGCTCACTAAGCTGCAGCTTCCGCGCTTTTAATAAAAAAAAATGTGCTACCCAGGGTTTGCATTCAATACATTCAGGTTCAAGCCCACCAGTGAAAGAA